AATATACTAAATGTAGTTAATTTCCAATACTAACTTGTTAACTACATTTTTTTGTTCTCAGTGTAGCAGAGAGGAAAATTTCCCAAGGCCAGTTCAGGCTGAGCTGCTCTGCCCCAAGCCCTGGTACAAGCCAGTGTATCCTGGGCTGCACTAAGCCCTCAGCTAGCAGCACTGTCAAAGGGACCAGGGTGAGCTGAGCTGAGACATGCTCTGCTCACACCTCTGCCAATGGCTGGCGTGTCGGAGAAGTTGGCTTTGCCTGCCCTAGCACAGGGAGGACACAGAGCATCCTTTGGTACCTACCCTGCGAAGAAAACCCAACCCACTGGGGGCAGGGAGACCTGTGTACTAGTGACCAGCATAGCTTGCCCATGCAGAAGTAAAGAACTACAGATAAAGTTCAGAACCAGTTAAGAAAGAAAATGAAACTGTTGATTAAAACAATTAGCAGGCAGGTTAATTATTTCCTTTGGTATATCCTATCTCATTTTCTTTTTGCAAATACTTCCTTTGTGTATGTTTGCAGCTGAAAACTGTTCCGTTCATAAGGGATAATAACGTACCATAGAGAAAAGTATAATCATTCATTCTTAGTATATATATCACCTCAAATCAGTCATTCTGAAAACTGTCTGGGACTCATAACATACAGTAGCAATTGGTTTTTATAACCTCTGTGAGTCCCCAGTAAACGTGACCATGTTGAATGTAGCTTTCAAGGTTAATTTCTCACTGATACCTGTTCTAGTAAGTGTGAACTTTGCTTTCTGCCAATGCTCTGCTTGAATTGCCTCAAATTCATTTTATTGTGACCTTTTTCTGAATTATTTTCAGGAAGTGAATATGAGGAAGCCCATGCATGGTCAAACCAAATTTAGCTTAGAGATCCCAAACGAATATTAACAGCAAATATTCTGCCGCATTGACTCAGCTCTGCTCTGAGTTGGTACACCTGCACAAGTCCTGCATTGCTTCTCTTCGGGTATTTTATCCAACTAAAGATGTTGTTTCTACAACTACCTTCTGCAATGATCTCGTAGGCACTCCTTTCTCCTGAAAGTTTGGAGATGGGATGCTGGAGATATACCTCTTCTAAAACATCAGTGGGAATTGAGAAATCCTGAATGTAGCTGAGTTCAGCTTTTTCTCCTTTAATGCTTCTTCCTGCCTATGTTTTGGAACTAGATCAGCTGCAACGGCTTTACCCTCAGTGACCAAAGAGGACTGCAGGCTGTTGGTGTGGGAATCTTCCCCAACCTCTGCCAGGCCAACCATGACTGCTGGCCCAACTGTACTGTCATCTTCAACAATGGCAAGTGAGTGGATATTTCCTTCCTCGAGCGCAGTGGGGATGCATCCTAACGGGCAACTCATCAGACTCCTCTGACCCCACACTGTCAGATCCCTGCCCCAGAAAATCTGTTCCTTCTTGTTTCCTTCTCTAGCTCAGAAAAGGTCAGGATTTTCTTTCTAGAGAGGATCTGTTTTCTCTCTCATTATTGTTGTTTTAAAAATTATTGTCTGACGCACTAAACAAATACACAAGGTTTGACCCCAAATCCAGTGAACCAGCATTTTTCCCTGGTTTCTGTGACTTTTGAAACCAGACACAAAATAGGCAGATGAACTACTAAGTAGCTGCCTAGATCAGCCTTATATTGAGGCTTTATTTATAAATAGTTAAGGAACAATTGCAGTTAATAAATTATTAAAGATTATGCCAAGTCCACAGTCCAAGAGTTGCTCATAACCAAAGCCTGCAATCAGCTGTATATCTCTATCTGCTGATGTGTTTATAACCATCCCTAACACAAACCCTCATCTTTGTGAGAGTGTACCATCTCTATTAATCACTGATTAACCCTTCAGCAATGGGATCTTAATGAATGTTATTTGCAAACCGAGTCCTGTGTGAGTGCTGGATGCCCTAAGCCGCTGGGTATTCCCCAAAGCAACCCAAGCCCTGTAAGAAAACTTCTGCAGGATATGTGAGATGGAAAGAGATTAAGTGGGAAATGCAGAGACATTTCAGTGGAGCTGGGAGTGGAGGCTTCTGTTCTCAGTGTGTGGGACAGCCCGTGGAAGGGATGCTCTGTTCTTCCCAGCCTCCTCCAAGGCCAGAAAAGTTATAAACTGCTGCTCATCCTGCAAGTTGCATCATGTGCAAGACATTACCTGTGGGAAACTGCTTGCCAAAACCCACACAGCTACAATATTACATCCAAATTTTCCACTCAGTCTTAAGATTTTACAAATTCCCGTGTTTATCAAGATTTAGTGCTGTAATTTAACCCCTCAGCCTCCCCATTGTTAACTATCACATTGCTTGTGCACTCCAGTTCTCACTGCTGGTTTTACCTGATAAAACTATACCAATATTTGTCAAGTAGCTGGTAAATGAGCAAAAAGAAAACAAAACTGCATTAGGATGATCAGCTTGGTGGGAAATAGAGTCTGATTCAAACTCAGATTGGAGTCTGTGTTCTGGTATACAATTGCCCTGGATGAGATCCATAGTGAAATGATGGCAGTCTGAGAATTGGAGGAAGTAACTAGCAGTGATAGCACCCCTGAAGTCTGAGTTTCTGGGTGGTAAGTATGGCATTTTCTTTGCCTGGCAGCTTGTCAAAGCTCCCACACGTATCCTGTTACTTACTTTAAACTTGTCCATCTGGTTATTGACCAGGTGAATTATGAAGGTTTCTTGTCATTCGGTGGAAACCTGATGATAAGCCCCTGTTGTAGGAACTGAGCTCTCTGTCAGCGCTCATGGCACAATACTGGATTGGAGGGCCTACTAAACTCATCACACAGAGCACAGTCCTTGTTGCTGACACCCCAGTCTGATTTCCATTTCAAGCTGTATTTTAGCGAGCACAACTACTGATGTCAGTGGAGACATTTCTGTGCAGGAGAACTAGCCTCATTGCACCTGCCAAACATCAGAAGTGAGTTTTGCTCACCCCCTGGCTGAGAGCACTCCTAAAATCACAGTGCCAGGACATTTATCCACCAAATCCTCCATGGCCCGGTGATGGGCAATTCGGTTATGGCAGCTGCATAGCAAATGCATGAGAGACATGAGCCAGGTGCTGGGAACCCCCCTCACCCCGTCAGGATGATGTCCTGATGCCTTACACCATGTACCCAGGTTTTTATTCATTGTATTTCATTGTACTTTCAGTATAAACTGCAGATGTTTGTTTTGTCTTTCAGTCATGAGGCTGTAAGATCAATGTTCCACACACAGATGAGGTGGGTCGGTCTTGAAAGCATCGTCCTTCCCCTTGCCCTGTACCCCTCATGACCTGTGTTAATGGAAAAGCTGCAAACAGCCAGAGGGGCTCCCTCTGTTTGCAGAAAATTTCACTTTCCCTGTTTTCTGAACTTCTACTCCTTCCCTGTGTAAAGCCCCACTAAACCCAAACCTCACTTAACTCTGCATTTTGTAGTAAATTAAAATGATAGTGATAATACTGTGACTGTTTCCCCCATGGTGGATTCCTTCCCTGCCTTCCCACCCTCTCCCTTGGCTTCCTCCCTGTCAGTATTTTCCCTCTCCACTTCTCATTTCTCCTCTCCTGACTACAGCAAGAGCATGAAAGTCAGCACAAGGTCTCGCTAATCTTGTATAGCCCAAAATAAAACCTTGCGTACTAGGAGATGAGAAATGATTAGCATTACTGACATACTAAATAGCCCACGTTTCTTCTGCAACAAACGGTGCCCCTTGAATGTGTTGCCTACAGTAGCAGTACCGTGAGATGTAGGTTTCATCCTTTATTATCATAATACTTGATTTATGTTTTACTTTTTAATGATGCCACTGTTACCTGATCCAAACTAAAGAAATCACAAAAATGTATGCAAAAACAAGTTCTCGGCTTAGCTCACTGCACTTGGTATATTACAGTAAGTTCTGTTAAAACAACACTGTTGTCTTTAAACCTGAATTTCAAGCAAACTCGTAATTTCCTCAAGTAAGACATGAAATACTTTTGAAATGCTCTTCACCATTAATGCTTACTCAGTGCATTATAGCTAGGACCATACAAAGGGGCAAATGAGTTTCACTTCTGATTAGAACTGCTATTTTGGGGCAATTTGGGTTTTAAGCTATCAGGCATGGGCAGTGTCGGTTCACCCGTCTTTCAAGGTCCTTGGTGCTTGGGGCAGACACTGGGGAAAGAGCATGGGGCAAACTCGGTGGGGTGCTCTCAGCTGACAGTGTCTCTTTAACTACAGCATTTAAAATATGCTATGCGTTTCCAGGCTTATCCCAAACGCTGTCAACCCCCTCCACACAAGGAATGGCTTCTTAAAATACACCTACGGTGCTTAGGCTATCAGGGGCATCATAAAAGTCAGAGGCTTGATTTTGCTTCTCTGGTTGCATGACTCACTTTCAGGAGGATCCTGTTAAGCGTGAACAGGAATGTTTCTATATGTAAACTTTTCTGATGGGAATTGCTCTTTTTCGTGCACTTTCTCCTGGAGTAGCAGGTTGCATCTTTCTCTGGCTGGCACCTACCCATGGTTGCGGTGTAACTAATAGCTGCCCTTGGTGGTGATGGCATGTTTAGTGATGAATTTTCTATGGAATATGCTGTTGATATGATCTAACACCCAGAGGAGGTCAACTACTTGGCCTCAGAGAGTAGTTTTCACAGCAGTTTTAGCACAGCTGAAAGGCTCTGAGCTACGCTCTTGGTGCTGAGAGCTTGTAACAGGAATTAGAAAGGAATTTAAAAGGACTTACAAGAGAATTACAGTCCCTTTGCAGAAATATGATCACACAGAAAAAGTCATGTCCCCCTCCAAAAGACTTACTTCTAATGCACCTGATGAGACCTTCGAGTCCTATGCCACCTATGCCTTTGGTGAGACCCTCACTGCATCCCATCTGAAGCACCTCCTGTTCAGCTTGGAGCCAGCAGGTCCCCCCCAGGTCCATCGCGTAGCAGGCATGTACATCAGACTCGCTGTTGAGCTCAGCAGGAGGATGGTCAAGGCACACAGCCCACGGTGAGGGAGCCCCAGGACTGATGTACCACACTGTAGTGCAACGGTAGGGTGGGAGCTCAGACCAGGGGACTGCCTGAATTTTGATAACCCGTAAGTATGCCTACCTGCAAAAGTATGTGTAACCCACTAACTGCTCTGAGCAGAGCCCAAAGTCACCGGTCTCACTCACAGTGAATTATTTCTAACTATGTGTAGAATCACTAGTAGATGAGGGAGCAGATGGATGCAGAAGCACCACCTCACCATTGTTGTATGATGGAGCTTTTTCACATTCTAGCCAAATTCTTCAGCCAGTTGTGCCTGTTCAGCCCCTGCAACTGAGAGATGGCCCAGAGTAACTGGGATATGTAGCATGTAGAGTGAAATAGCAAGGGATTAATTTTGAGTGGCCACGTTATTTAAGGTCTTTTGCAGGGAACAACCTGAGAGAAAGGCAGGTGCAAAGGTCTGGGTTTCCAAAAGTCTGTCATTGAGGGCTTGCCATGAATTTTGGTTTAGTAACAGAGACTGGCAATTAAATTGTGGTTTATTTTAGCAGTAGGCATCAGATCAAATGAGCTATTAAAATCCAGACTGTTTCCAGAGAATCGTTACTAAGCCTTTATGTAGAGGTACATGAACAGGGCGAGGACATCTCTTACCCAGCACCCGGAGGGAATTTGTCGTAACTTCTTGGAGTGAAAACAATACCGAAAGCAGCACAGCTCAGGATGAGGGAGCCTAGCCAGAGTTGTGCGGGTAGCATGCAAAGCAGTACTTAAAAAAAGACGCAAACTCAGCATTTTGCAAGGCTTGTTGGATATTTCTGATCTCCAGGTTTTCTTCTGGCGAGATCTCCTGCAACATAATAAAGGTTTATGTCTAGGTTCAGCCCCCACCTGGATGAAGTAATGGAGCCATAATCTGGCTATAGCTCAGACCCTTATGTATCCCTGACAGAGACTTGCAGAGGAGCCGGAGAAACTGGTGTGACTGTGTTGTTACCCTGTGTTCAGTTTACCAGACTGCTGCCCATCTCTGCATTGCCTCTCTGAAGAGCTAAAGCAGTACCTTAGGGCAAGGGCTCACCTCTGCAAGGCAGGGGCAGGTCGCAGGACTTATCGCTGACAACTCTATGGCTGCATCTTTGCTTCTGCTGCTTCTACGAGCCCACATCTGGTCTCCTTTGCACCCAGGATTGAACTGCGGGCACTGAGCAAGATTTCTCCAGGAGATGAGCTGACTGTTTCCTATGTGGATTTCCTCAACGTGAGCGAGGAGCGGCGGAAGCAGCTGAAGAAGCAGTATTACTTCGACTGCACCTGCGAGCACTGCAAGAAACAGATCAAGGACGATCTGATGCTGGCAGTGAAGGAGGGGGAAAGCAAGGTATGGTTTGTCCTGCTGTGTCCAAACCCAGAAGCATATGTGTCCTCTCCACCAAGGCATCTGTGTGTCTCTGTGACCATGGTTCCTCAGTCCAGGGACACTCTCAATAGGAACAGAGTCAGATTTTGGCAGAAGCCTGACTGGTGCCAATTTAAAAAATGAGAACGGAACCTTGATGGAGCACAACACCAGTTCAATCCCACCATGCAAGGCCATATTAATCTCTATTATGCAGCATAAATGCACTTTTTAATTTAAAAAAGCCCACAAAAGTTGATTTTAACCATAACCTAAAAGTCCATCAACAAGCAGAATGTTAAAATATTGAAAAATTAAGTCTAGAGCTGAGAAAAATGCTGGCATTTAGAATGTTGGGGGTTTTTTTAGGAACTGAAAGGGAATCAAGGTTATGAACTGCAGAACGGTAAATGTGTTGCAGGTGGTTTGTGGTGACAGGACTAACCAACAGTGCTGAAGCTGTACAGTCTGTAAAGTGTGTCTGAAGCTTTGCAGCCTGTAAAAAGCCATCACACTGGCTCCAGCAAGGTGGGAAGCCTCAACTGCCAATCCGTCCTTGCAAAGGCCTGTCACAGGGAGCTTGTACCATCGCCTGACATTTGTGCATGGTCGCTGTGGGCAGACTGACTGAGAAGAATGAACATGTTTGACAGCTCATTTTTAAGCAATCTGTGTTTTCCTTGGAGGTCTCACAAGTCATTGAGTGGGAGGGTGTCAGGCTGAGTCTTGCTGTCGGCAGTGGGATGTGTTGCTTGGCCAGGGTCTCCACTTGATGAGCGTGCCTGTGGCACGAAAAGTTTCTTCTTTTGGTTCCTGTGCCCAAGGATATAATTGTTCACGTTTTTTGTCCTTTGTGGCAGAATTAGCTTAGGGGGTTTCTACTCCTGCAAGCTTTACAAAGTGTATAAGGAAGGCAAAGCAAGGCAGTACAATTTAATGTATTAGCAAGTCTTTGAGCTGCACTGTTGAGCAGTCGTATAATGAATCAGACAGGTCAGCTTGGGGCTGACGTGGGGCAGGACCAAATAGCAAACATACGGTGAGGAACTGTGACCTCAGACAGCACTGTCACCAGGAGAGGCCCAGTGAGCTGCACCTTCTGGGGAAGGAGTACAAAACCCTTAGTCTCCAGCTCAGCAGTTACCAGAAAGCCAAGCTCAGTCCTATGACTCTTCTTCCATATAGACATCAGTCAGGAAAGGCTGGATATTGCAGAGTATAAGTCTCTCCCTGGGAAAGGTTTGGAGAAACAGGATCAGATACCAGGGAGCTCCCATGACAGATAGGACATGGGACTAGAGGAGACCCTTTGCTTGCTGGGTCAAGTTCTCCTCCCGTGCAAAAGACCCTGCTGTATAATCCCATTACTAAATTATCAAGCTTCATTTTAAAGCTAATCCTGACTACTGAAACTCCCCGCTTCTAATGTCAAGCTATCCCAGAGCTCAGTCCTCTGATGCAGAAGCATTTTTATGTGACTTTCTGTAAAAGTGTTTTTGAACACCTCCTCCAGTGGGTGGCATAAAAAACCTCAGCTGTCCTTCAACACCTGCTATCGAGCCTTGACTGAGCAGTTAGATGTGCCATCCCCTTTTTGTGAGCATTAGAGCTGCTCTGCAGCACGCAGCGGGAACACATGCACTTTCGGGTAAATGTCCTCCACAATCTGAAGTGTTTGTACAGAAAAAGCCTGTAACTATGCAAGGTGCATGATTTCAGCTATTAAAAATACACTCCATCCACAGACAATGAGTATCCAGACTGACCTCACCCGCAGAGCACGTCTGCCCTATCGCATTTTCTGAATTCAGACTCACTTGCCCGAGAGCAGCAATGCTCACAGCTGCATGGAAAAAGCGCTATGAATATATGCAGGATTGACAGTTTACATCCTCAACAGCTGCTCCGACCTCCAGTCCTTCACCCTTCCCAAATAGTAGCAAAGTTCCCATTGTTTATGATGGCAACAGACCTAGGGGTCTAGTAAATGCAAGCGAGGATTTTTATTTGACAAAGTCACTGTGGGAGTGCTGTTTAGAGTACCTATTCTGGGAGTCTTTACTCAGACAGTGTAGCGATGTGAGTTGGACTGACATTAACATTACCTTTAAATGTGCTCTGTGCACTAGGACACCCTGTGTGCTGCTCAAACAGCTGCCAAAATCTGATTAGCTATGATGGCTTTGGTCTAATAATATAGAATAATAAATTATAACACATATATATGTGTCCATAAAAAAGATGGGGGGTATATGGCCCTGAAAAGCTATTGATTTTCCTTCCATACTAAACTTCCAAGAGCTTTTCCCAACTAGCTGAATTTCACAGGTTCCTCAAAAATCTGATAGACCAGGTATGGGGAAAAGACAATGAAACATTCCTACAGTCCTGACTACAAATCTTTGTGTCCTTTGTTGCACTGTTGGGTCTCTGCTTTTGATCCACACCCAGAAGTCCTTCGTGGCTGCTGGGCACATGCCTGTGCTCTGGTTGTATTGCGTGTCTCCAGACCAGGTTCTGCCTGCAGCTCCTCACAAAACTGTGGGCCAATTTCAAATTTCCCATTTACAAAAAGGAAGGTCATGATAGAATAGTTTGAAAATGCTAATTTGAAAGGCTCGGAAAAGCAGGTGATGAATGATGGTTCTGGATATCATAATGTTTTATTTCAGCATTAAATGAAGGAAGAAGAGGCAACTAGTTATGATCTGGTTTGTGTTTTGCCAGGCATGCCTAGATGTGCATCATGTCTTCAAACACACAGTGAAATCCAAACTTCTTTGAGGTGGGTGGGAAAACACATTTCACTCTCTGGATACAGCTGAAATCCGAGGTCAACCATCTTATGGTGCAGAGCACCAAATCACCATGGTTTAGTGGTGGACTTGGCAGTGTTAGGTTAACGGTTGGAGCTGATGATCTTAAAGGTCTTTTCCAACCTAAAAAATTCTGTGATTCTGTGACCTCTACCCTGTTGAGCAACACTCTTGCTGAAGTCTGCAAGAGCTTCAACTCTCAACTTGGTAGCAGGACCATTTCAGCCCAGTCTTGGGCATGTCTGAGAGGCATGCTGGGATATATAGCCAGCAGTAGGAGGGTAGTGGGTGATGTGGGAAGCATCCCACTGAGCTGATTTGGGTTCCCTGACTGCAGAACAAGCATCCCTTCAACCAGGGTATTTTGGCATGTGTCAGGCAGTGCAGTTTCTCACCGATGTTCCTAATGTTGTCCCCAGCCCTCTGCAGAGATGGTAAAGGAGGTCATCCAGTTCTCCAAGGACACGCTAGAGAAGATCAACAAGGCCCGCATGGAGGGACTTTACCATGAAGTGAGTCCTGGTACTTTTGCTCTCTTGCTGTATACAAACCTCCAGGGAAAGCAGGCCTTGTCCCTCTCTACATCAATGATTTAATGATGAAACAACCCCCCTCTGCTGTAACCTGAATATCCCCATGTGCCTCCTGCCCTCTTGGCAGATCAGATTGCAAAAGCTGACACTGGTTTCTGCCCTCTGTCATGGTCATGTCTGAGACAACATCCCAGACTGCTTTCTTTCATAGTGATGATAGAAGGAGATTCAGGTGACTTCCAGCACCTCCGATTGACACAGGTGTTGAACTGAGGGCATCCCGGGCAAAAAACCTGAGTTACAGGGCAAGTGTAACAAGTCAGCTCTGCCAGGAGCCTCATAAAAGGGAAGACAGTGGGTTTGAGAGAGAGACAGGACAGGCAGGAGACTTGCCACATTGGGCTATGTTTGCCTGTGTTGATCTCCTTTTCACCTCCTGGCTCCTGCATACTGCTCCTTTGTCAGGTGCTGAGGATGGGTGGGTGGTGTGGGAGACCCACATCCCACCTGAAGCACAGGCCACAAAGGCAAAGGGTGAGGGAGCTCAAGTCACTTCTTCCTTTGTCCCTCTTTTGCTGACCCAGGAAGCATTAATTGTTCTCTTCAGAGTGTAACATCTTCAGGAAATCACTCCGGGTTGAGCAACAGCTCCTGGGTTTGAACTTATTTTGGGAAAAGTCTGTAGCCCCCCAAAGCAAAAATCTGGACACTGGGTCATGGCACAGCTAAACAGACACGCATGGGGCAGTGCAGCTCCATGTCTCCAGCCCCATGGGGTCAATAAAAGCATTCATTGCATCAAATGCTTGTAGGAGGTTGGGTGGGTGGCAGTGCGTAAGAGTCCTGTAGGCACTTGGTATCTGACCAAACCCAACCTCCTGAGGTCTTTCTTCTCCTGAGCAGTAAGCATCACTTTTTCCTCACTGATTTTATGAATGTAATCCTGGGAGAGAAAGCTTTGAGCATCAATCATTTTTCTAGGCTGATGCTTCTCAACAAATCAAAGCTTATCCTATCTTCCCCAACCTTCACAGAGCCTGCCTTGGCCTCTAGGACTGATATGGACCATGCAACTCACAGGGCTTTGGTGTGGCAGCTTTGGGGCCACAGGTGCTCTGACTTGCCCTTCCTTTCTCTCCTTCCTCTGGGCACAGGTCGTGAAGCTATGCCGTGAGTGCCTGAAGAAACAGGAGCCCGTGCTGGGGGACACGAACATCTACCTCCTGAGGATCCTCAGCATTGCCTCCGAGGTGCTCTCCTACCTCCAGATGTTTGAAGAAGCAGCTGACTATGCCAAGAAGATGGTGGATGGCTACCTGTATGTCTGTGCCTTGGTTTTGGCAGCGATCTGTGGTTATGCAGTGTTAGGCAGCATGTTACAGGAATATTTTTCTTAGTCTGCATCTTCCTTCAGGGCAGGGGTGCTGGCATTCAGACTGAGAACTGGTAATATCAGCAGGCAGAGAGGGATCCCTTCTTAAATGCACGAGAGCCCCCAAACACCTTGATTTACTAAACTGGAACTGGCAGACCTTGTTAGCCTTCTTGTTTTGTCTCAGAAGCATCTTTAAGGCTGCCCCGGTAGCAAGCCACAGAGCCTGGGTGCAGGGCAGAGAGACTGCCACTGCCAGAAATGGACTGTTCCCCTGAACCCTGCAGGAAGGAGAAGTTGCAGGGAAAAGAGAAGCCACATCAAATGGCTGTCACTGAAGATATCCCGTCACTCTTGAATAATACATGGATTTTTGTCCTGGCTAATTAGCATACACAAGTCCTCTGATAAGAGCTCAGTAAAAATAAAGAAATTCAGCTTTAGTTCACATAGATTCAGGGCAAAGCTCACAGTACAAGTGTTCTACTTTATTATTACTGAGGTTTTACTAGAGGACTGATGAGTAATAAATATAAAAGAATAGAAACCATGGAAAAAACATCTTGTTCACTGAGATGCTGAGAACATCTCATACCCATTAGTTGTCTTTTTGGTCAGTTCTACCTCAAAAGGCCTGTGATATTTTGTTCTTTTTCAGGGGGGTGACAGAGTCACCTCCCTGACTTGCAGGCCTGACAAGCTACCTCATGTCCCAGCTCTGGCACTAAGCTCATTGAATGAGACAGAGGAAATTGCTTCCCCTCCTTGTTGCTCCGTTTTTCAGTCCAGAGTGAGGACTGCAGTAATTTCCTTCCTTGCTTTAACACATGCCAATTCAAGATGCGAAATAATCCCTTGAAGGCAGGTTTTCGGGCAAGTCCAAGCAGCTTCTAACTCTGCCTCAGCTTCTAAAGTTGGATGTAGAGGCCCGGTTTCATTTTTCCCACCCTGGGTACTGACCACAGGGGAGTGATCTGACAGTCCCTGGAGTCAGGGCTGCATCTCCATGGGGTGAGCTGAACATGTCTGGAATCAACAGTTTCTCTCCCCACTTCGAATGGGAAGGTGGTGGTTGTTGCATTCTCAGTTTAGGCACTGCATAAAGTGCCTGAAGTTAAATTGGTGCCCTCTGGGCTGCAGGGTCAGACCTGAGTTTTGTTTGTGCCGAAAGAATATGGAATGGCAGAGCTTGGCATTCTCCAACCCAGGTGTCCAATTTACCCCATTTGCAGGTTGTTCATCCTCTTTCACAACTCATGTCCTCGTCTAACTCGTGTCCTTGTGTAACTCATGTTTGCCCCTTTCCAAGCAGGGCTGCACATTTCAGTGACACTGAATGCAATAGGCTCTTCACTCGAGTAAACAGTCTGCTCTTTGGCAAACATATCACATCACTGACAAACATTTAGGCACCTAGACCTTTCCTGAACTAAAATTGCTCAATGTTTTTCCAGGAAAATATACCATCCCAACAATGCACAGCTGGGAATGGCCGTGATGCGGGCAGGAGTGACTCACTGGCATGCAGGTCTCATCGAAGCCGGGCATGGCTTGATCTGTAAAGCCTATGCCATTCTTCTGATAACCCATGGGCCTTCACACCCAATCACCAAAGATCTGGAGGTAGGTGTCATCTCCTGTGTTGTCTCTCTGGGCACTATTATATTCAAGCTGTTGGAACAACACATCTGTAAGAGCTGAAAGGCGTGTAGAAGTACTGACTGCTTCTTTCTAGTGCTGTGGTTTTCTCTAGATTATGTTACAGTCTGAAGGAAAATGCATGTTTTTTCCTAAGGGAAATTTTCATCCCTGAAAAATAGCTTTATCCTGCACCAGAGCAAACATTAAACATGGCTGCTGAGGACTGAATCTTCTTTAAAAGTGCTGTGCCCAAGCACAGCATCTCCCATTTTTCAAACAGCCTCGTTTCGCTGCTCTTGGATGGGTGGCATTATGATTTGACTATATCAAATTACTTATGGTGTATGTTCCCAGTTTACCAACTGATCTTCTTTATTGGTGTCCCTTCTTTTTTATTTACCACTCTCCAGTCCTCTTAACTGCAATGTACTTTTTCCTCAAATGACTGACAGGTGTATTTCCTAGCTTAAACTCTGGAGCTGCAGATCCCAGGAAATTACATCTGCTCAGATATGATGAACTATTTACAACTGCAGCTTGGGATCTATCATGTCTTTGCCTTTAACTCACCTGATGTGACCTGTTGGCTTTACAGCGTTCTCCTTAGCCAAAAAAATTACATGGTACCAAGTGAAAGCCAAAAAAATTACATGGTACCAAATGAAATCCTTTATTGATGTCTTGGTCCCTGTTACAGCAGAGCTATAACCTTTATTAGTGCAATTTTATATCACCAGAAAAATGAGCATCTGTGACCTAAAGCCAACCTGTCTGATGACTGTTTGCCTATATGTAGCAGAGGGCAAGACTCCAGCACCTGCATTTCTTTATTTCCTTTCCCACTTACTTTAGGAGGAAAATAGTGGATATATGGCTTATGTCTGTGCTTCTAAACCACGTGTTGAATAAACTCATGGACAGGTGTAAGGTTTCCTAAAATCCCTTCTGATCCTCTGCTATAATGCAGTACCAGCAATGCCACTGCTTGTGGTGAATCCTGGGATACAGGGGGTAAAACTGTGATGTGCTCCAAGAGGGGCTGAGCATCCCTCTTTGTCTTCCCCTGCCTCCTCCCACATGACGTGACTCCCACCCCAGTCATGGGGCACCCCAAAGGTGACACCCAGGGTGTGGGTGGGAAGCGCACTCACTCCCTGGCTCTGTGCATCATTGCCTCTAGGTTCTGCATCAGATTTAGGAGCGGGAGGCTTCCCAGCAACCTGTGGAAGAGCTGGGTGCAGGAAGGGCTGATGCCCTCTTCACCTTCACAGTACACAGGCAACCAGGTTTGTGAAAGTAGCTGGGTATCTGTGTCCAGTTAGTTTTGGTCCCACTGGTAGGACACCTAGAGTAAGATGCATCAGTCATTACATGGCCTATGACGACCCTGAAAATGGTCCCCATTTTTTAGGCAGGGCCTTGAGATCCCCTGTGTCGCAGGTTTTGTAACCTGTTGTGTCCCTCAGGTCATGCGTGTGCAGACGGAGATGGAGCTGCGCATGTTCCAGCAGAACGAGTTCATGTATTACAAAATGAGGGAAGCTGCCCTCAAAAACCAAAAGATTCAAGTCATGCCTGAACCCAGCAATGAGACCACACCAAGCCTCTTCCACAAGAAGGAATAAACCCTGAGCTTGACACAAATTCATGCCTGTGGGACAACATCACCTGTGGCACCCCCAAATATTGGGAATGTGGTATAAGAATGTGATTTATCCATAAGGATTGTTTCCAGTGGCACCAATCTGACAGCATGGACCTGCAGGGGGAAAGTCCTGAAAAATGCTTCTCTGAAAGCAGGAGAGATCTTGGCAGGAGCAACATCCTTTTTCTACCACTAGCATTAAGAATCAAAGTAAAAATCCTGTTATAAAATTATTTACATACTTACTGGAAGCCTGTGTCTCTCTACACAAGTCCTGATCCTGAAGCCCTTGGTTAAATTTTAATAGCTTCTTTCTTAAGTGTTTTTTTTCCCCCACATCACTTCTTTCTGATGTCATCATTCCTTTCCAGGGATGTCCATGGGTGGTTGACCAAAGGGTGGTAGAAGCTGGTTCCAAAAAGTGCCATGTCTGCCTTTAGTGCAAACTGAGTAAGATGCACAGATGGTGTTTTGTGTAAAGTGGTGTTTTTTTCTGATGAAAAAATCCTGAAAAATGATTCTGCAGTGGACAGGGGTGCAACATCAAACTGTGCATACTTTGCAAGCAAGACTAAGTAGAATTCCAACATCAGGATAAATGAATCTGAGTAAATGAGTCTCCTTCGTTAAAAACCAGGAAATGTCTGCAGTGATGGCAGCAGACAGACATGAGATGAGTGCATGCCAGAAGCCAGTGGCACTGGTGTGGTGGGGCTGTGTGGATTGCTCTAAGGGGACAAGTGGTTTCCAGGGAGGGGCATCCACCTTTGCTCACCTTCATGGTGAACTGGGGGCTATGATGCCTTTCAGCACCTGCCCTGCAGCTTAGGCAGGCACTTAATCAGTTTTACACTGAGCAAAAAAGGGATAGTCTATGGATCAGCTGCAATGGGCAGCCAGTGGAGCTAAGGAAAAGTCTAAAGGCAGTGGCTGGATATCTAGATTAAAAAAGGTGTTTGCTGTCTGCCCATCTCTCTCAAAATCCAGCTGGCTTGCTCCAGACCTTCAGTGGCAGCCAAGAGATGAAAAGAGATGGTTTGTTCAAGAATCCCCTACCTGCTCCTTAGCAGATCAGCAATAAAACAAAAGCAGGGCTTTTCCTCTCTGACATTTCTCAGTGATTCTGCTGGTTTCTCCAGACCAAAGGTGGGTTCACTGGAGACCAACATCTGCTTTTTAGGTGCTGTTCAGCTAAGCCCATCCATGAGGTGCTCATTTGATAGCCAGTGTGGCAATCCATATTGGTTCAGTCCTCAGCATGAGGATCAGTGTCGACTTGTAACATGAAAACCTTCCCTGAGGAGAGAGGAGTCATGGGAGAGATGCATGCGAGGACAAACTGGTCCTTTCGTGACACGCGTTGGGGTTGCAGGAGGAGGTGGGCGAGCAATTGTGGTGTTTTCCTAACAACCCGAGCAGCTTTGAGCAGTTGGAAGAATATCATCCCAGCTAGGTATATCATACCATCCATATACCCCTTTCCCAGTGACGGTTCCCAGTCATCACCCAAGCACAGGGCTTGGAAAAGGCAGCTAAGAAGGAAGAGCAGGATCACTGACATTCCCTTGAGCCCACTTAAATCACCCCATTCTTTGGCACTGCCAGTCACTCTGTGGTGCATGACCCACCGGGATGTCCCCAGCAGGATGCTGGCACGCGTCCCAGGAAGAGGCTGGAAGAGCGCTCCTCAGCATGGAGCACACCTCAGAGGGTCACTAATGACTCTGAGCCTGTGCCCTAGCCCAGCTCCATTCACCAACACCAACGCAGCCTTGGCTCACCCTGTTGACCAATTTCTACCAGGCCTTGCGTGAGTTTGGGAGGCTTGCACCTCTTTATAGCAATAGTGAAGAGGTTGATGATAATAATACAGGCCTTTAATACAAATTTTACTTTAATGGACACATTTTACACAGTAAAATGATTGGCATGTGCAGGGTTTCTAGATTCTCTTGCTGATTCTCTTGTAGGTGAGGTCACCCATGGTCATCGTCTGAAAAACAAATGGAGAGTGTTAACTTTCCGTGGTGCTTGGCTCCAAACTCTGCTTGGAAAGGAGCTGCTCTTGCAAATCAAAGTAGGACTGGTCCCCAGTCTGTCTACTATAAACTGAGTTGCTAAAGCTTTGGGTTTCTTCATGAATACCCCAAAGAATGTAGGGATAATCTGGCAACCCTCAACTGGGATCAGTCTGCTACATCTCTCTTCTTTAACAGTGCCAGACCCAGACACATACGGTGTTGGTGACCTATACCTCGTTACGTGAAACTTTGATCAGTAGTACCTACTGGGGTTTTAAAGAGCACTTTTTCAGTAACACTGTAATGAAAAACTGCCTTCAGTGCGTGACCAACACCTTTGGCTGCAGAGCCTGAGTGCAAGCACATGCTCATCTCCAGCACCTCCCCGGAGTCCTCTGAGGCTTTCTAGGGCCAGACTCCTGAAAGCAGTGGTATGCACCATTATTCCAACTATTGCCCTTCTCTTCTACACTTACATTGGTGATGGTGTCTCCATTGAGTTCGGTGACAGATTTGAGCCCTTTCAGGTTTGCGACCAGTTTGTTGTTACCCTCCAGCTGAACAACAGCCTGGTAGGAGAAGAAAGAGACATTCGTGTTATTGCTGGAGACAACCTCAACACCTGCATTTTGTTCTTCCCCTTCTGTACTGAGTTGCCACCATCCCCTTTGCAAAGCTGTTTGGATCAAGCCTCTCCCCTCATGCTTTTGGCTTTCCTGGGCGGAGAAGGAGAGAGGATTAGGTTGGTGGTGACTACAACACAAGGGTATGGATGTTTACTTTCGCCTCTACAGGGAGGTGATTTTCCCTCCATACTTAGCTCTCTCCCCTTCAAATTGAGACTCACACATGGCTCCTGCACCAGTAGATGCCAGAGCAGGGATCCTTGGCATCCCTTGTCATCACAACACCTGAGTCTGGGGGGAAAAGAAGGAAGGCTCTTCATCCTGCCGATGCTGGTGCTTCTGTGCAGCCCTGATGCTCCTTGGGGCAGGTCCTCATGCAGCACCCCAGACCAAGAAGAGCTGCATGCCTCCAAGGAGAAGACTGCAGAGCCACCTGAGCTGGGCCAGGGCATGCCATGTCATCTCCTCTCCACCACCTGCCTACTGCACATAACCTCCTTTGGGGTAGGGTGATGGGGAGCTGGGAGACAGCATGAGGGTGGAGGGAGTACCAGTCAAGGTGGGAAACTATGTAAGGAGCTCTCAGAAACTCGGTCATGGCTGGACAGCTTTCAGGACAGGCACATCTGCTGAGTCTTTTTCTTCCCAGAGCTGGACATCTAAAAACGCTGCAGACAGCACCGGCACCCCCAGGGCAGCTATCACTGATCACTGAAATGACTCAAATAAATAGCCCAGCAAAAGACATTTCTGTACATCTGTCTATCCAGCTGTAAGGCATGTTCACCTGCCCTTGAGTTGCTGATTTATTCGCAAGGGACTTCAGTGATGCTGGAAATGGTGATACAGCTGGTACAGCTCTCAGAGCCCAATTGACGGGGGCATTTCTTTAGTCATCATCTCTCCTGCTTTCAAAAGTCCCTGCAATATCATCCTTTCCCAAGGTGAAGGTGAGAGGCAATATTTACCAGTGGCACTGTCTTGGCATTTTATCAGCCATTGGAAACTAATGTCCAGGAATGGGAGCTGACCCAATTTCAAGGGTGATAAATCCTCACCTTGCCAGATCATTTCACCCAGTGTAAACAGAAGCAGTGGAAAAGGACAGCAGAGAAGCTGACAGCCGCTGGGACTTGAGAGATTTATTGGTTTATGATTCATTGGCTGACTTTCCTGCACTACCTTTAAGTCAACAAAACAGAGGTGGGGGTATGTTTTGTGTTGCAACATGACAGACAGTTGCTCTTTTCCAGCTCAAATCTTTCAGGCCTTTTGCTGTCAGAAAAAATTGCCGAAGCATCTTTATCCCCCTTTTCCAAATGGGCTGTTAAAACCCTGGCTTCCAGTGTTTTCCAAACTGGCTGTTAAAATAGCTTTAAAATGCAAGGCTTCATCTCCAGAAGTGCTGGCTGGGGAGCTTGTTTTATAGAAGCAAAGAGGGGAGGTGGGAACTTCAGAGTCTTGGGCTCTGAGTTTCTCATGAAGGTGGCTCAAAATGGATCGTCATTTTTGGAAACATGTCCCTAAGAGACTTGCTGAGGACGAGCAGGGAGCAGGGCAGCGGTTGTCACATCTGCAGACTTGGTTTCAGCAATTATCCCCTTCCCCTTGTACTAAATCATGTGCACAAACGGTGAGAGACAGCACCAGGCTGGGGAACTCCCCAGGTCTTTTCCCTGTGTCAGCTTTAACACCCCTGGTCTGGTGATCCCCTTTGCTCAAGTGCAGAGGGAATGGCTGGAAAGGAAATTTAATGTCCCTGGGCTCCCACAGCCCTGACAGAGGATGCACTGGTCACTCACCTTGACTTTCTCTCCCGTCACCATCTCCACCTCACACTCCTCCCCAATGGTGAACTCATTTTGCAGCACTTTGGAGCCAGTGGTCACGGTAATCTTGAACTTTTTCCCATCCTGCACGATTTCTGAGATGCTCTTGATGTCTTTTCCCTTCTGTATCTGGTCATCAGGAACCCCTGCCCAGGAACAAGAGATGTTAGATGGACCTTGGAGCTATTGGTAGGCAGATTGCTGCTGCCAAATGATTGTGGCAGGATTTGGGGACCCACGGCTGGGAAGATTTCTTTTCCAGTGTGGAAAAACATTGCAATGATGATGGTTCCCCAAGGGCCACATGAGTCTGCTGGGTAGGAAGAACAACAAATACTTTATATTGGGTTTGATGTGGGAACTAGGTATCTCCCTTGTCTCATCAACCTGGCTGGGAGCGGAACAGCTACCTCCCTGGCTAAGCATCAGATGGAAAGAAAAAAATCCTGTTTTCCTTCCTTCCTTCACTGAGAGGAAGCAGAGAAAATGAAATAAATCATGGCAGAATGAGGGAACCAGAGTTTTTTTAAAGAAATTCAGAGTCCCTCAGAACCAGCTTGCTAAAGTCTTCTCCCAAAACCTGAAGCGAATGTGACAGTAGAACCCCTGCGGCACATAACTGCACAGAAGGAGTGCAAAGCCTCCTGAAACGCTGTGGGAGCATGTTCTCTGGCACGGACACAGGTGGAATTCTAGCTAGCCACATCCATCACTGAACATTTAAACAACCCTGACTATTTTTCTGATGAATGGTGGAATCTGGGGCTTTGCAACATCACTGAGCAGCAGCACGGTGGGCTGAGTGATGTTCTGCTCTGCCGCAAATTTCACAGCCTGATGGAGCAGACCTGCAGTCACCCTAAGCCACCAAGGTCCCACTGGCTTATCACCTATGCACAGCACTCTGCCGCGCTGGCCCATGGCTGCAGAGCCTGCTGGGATAGTTTTCCTGCAATCCATACAATTTCACACAGCATCTCTTGACCTCCAGCCACCAGCCAGAGAGTTACTTTCTTTTCTATTTTGAGATCACATCTCCATGCACATGTATTAAAAAAACCCAGCAATTGCAAGATGACAGACAGAAATAGGAAATCTGAGAGATGTTTTCAATCTACATCATCAGCATATCCACACAGTTGGACTCCCAAGTATCAGTGGGATCAGCAGAGGCAAAGCAGCACATAGTACATGGAGACACTTACCAAGGGCTTTCATAAAAGGCTCAAAATTTTCCTGGGACTGGAGTTCATACTTTCCAGTGAAGCTCATGATGAAAATCTCTCTGTGCTCACAACACAGGCAAAGGTGCTTTGCTGGTAAGCAGAGCTTGGTTTTATAAGGTCCTTTTGCCTTAAAAGTTGGTCAGAGGTAAGATGATGTAATTCTTTTATGGCCATGTTCAAACATTAACATAAAACTGGGCAATGGTCAGTGATAAATTACTCTACATTTTACAAACCTCAATTTACGATGTGGGGGCAGGGAAAATCCCATAAACCCATTGTATGGAGGTAGCAATGTGGCATCCATATACAAATGATAAAAAAAATAATAGTGCAAAGAGATTAATTATCAGAGGAATGAGCCAAATCATCTCATCAGCTTGTGGTCTGGAAGAGGAGAAAGCAGTGAAAAATTATCTTGTCCCCTGGAGCTGACACCGGTGGGGTTTCTACTCATTGATGTGTGCATGCTGTGTCCTTAGCACTGACATGAAGAATAGTGGCTGCAGCTGGCAGGGACCAACTTTCTCCCTCTTTCCTTTGCCTCGCCATCCTCTGCAATGGTGGGGTTTGGTGTAACTCAGATGTAACAGCAGTCACAAAATCATCATTGTCCCCTGAGGAAAAAACACGACTCAATCAAATCCTGGGCTTGCACTGACCCGTCCTGAAGACTACAGTTCAATTCAGACTCCATCACTATGGCCTTGCCTCCAAGAAAGGGATTTCATGTGGATAGGTGGATCAGTGCCATTAGTGATCTACCTGGATTGCCAGGAGCCATGCCTAGAACCTCCTTTCCTCTCCTTTCCTCAGAGGAGCTACAGTCACTCGTGCACTGAAGGAGCATCTCAGCCCCCAGAGCTGCATTTCTCCCAAAAGCCACATCAGAAGTAGAACCAGTGGCAGCCTCCAAGCTGAGCCCAATTCCTCCCTCCAAAGCAGAACTCCAGGCTGAGCTCCTCTCTCAGTGTGGTCCCCTTGGATGAGTGGCCCAGGTTACTGCACAGCGTCTGAGCAACCATCTTCTGGGTCTGGAATCCAAGGCTCAGCTTCTTGCTCCCACCTCATCCTCTGCCTCAGTGAATTCCTCCTCCCTCCCAAAGTCACCAGTTCAGAGGTTTTCCCTCTTTCCACTCATATGTCTTCTCCTCTTTGCAGTTCTTCCATTCTGCATTCTCACAGCGTCTTTGGCCTTTTTTAAAGTGAAATCATGTATAAGCATGAAAAACCCCTCTCTCTTCACAGTTTGGAGATGCTGTCAGAGCCCTCTGCAGCCACCCATCCCAATCCTGCAGGCTCAGCCCGGAGCTGCCGCTCACCTCCGCTCCCCACACTGCAGTGGTGCACAGTGACGCTGCCTGGGCCAGAGTCAGTCTCAGTTTCCGGTTAATTAGTACAGGCAGGGTCTGCCTGACAGGGCAGGAGAGGGAAATCCTCTGCCGGTGGGGTGGGTGGTGAGTTAAATTGGCCAGGAGGGTGTCTGTAGGGGCCATCACCCCTCCGTGCCATGGAGGGGGCCAGGCAGGTTCAGAGAGCAGTCATGGGGGGTGGGCTGATTCAGCAATTGCTCCAAGCAGCTTTTCAGCTTTTCCCTTCTATCCGCCATTCCCAACAGGAATGACATCACCTAATGAACTGCATTTCATTTTTTCCCCCACCCCGGGTAAACACCCTGGGGTCATGCGGGGCTGCACTGCCACATGTCCCTTTTCTGTGTCCTCTTCACTCTGACCGTGGTGACTGACCTCTCCGGCCGGGTGCTGGCAGCAGCCGGAGCTCACAGCTCCCTGCCCCACCAGGCAATGTCCTCCTGCCACGGGCTGCCTGGAAGCACACATGTTCCTCCCACGCATTCATGCTCCCCCAGGGAATACGGATCCCCTCTCTTTGCATGGGAGATTCAGACTTGAAAAAACACCTGAATATTTTTCAGTCTGCCTCATTTTGGAGCCCAGTGCTCCCGATGCGCCGTGGGGTGATCACCACGGGAAAGCTCCAGCTCTGCACAGCTCATCTGCCCCCGCCATCATCAACTGGATCAGCCTGGAGTTGTGGTTTTCATTCATTTTTCACTGAGATGCACTCCCAGACAGGCCACATCTGACCAAATCCCACTTGCCAGGGGGATTCCCAGTTGTCACCCATTTCCATGTGCAGGCTAGGGAGAAGGGGTAGCCTCTAAGTCTGTAGGGAACCATCTAAGACCTTTCTCAGGTAACCTCAGCCACATCCAGCACAGTGAGTACCTCTGAGCTGATGTCTGCATATGCCAAAGGAGAGAAAAAGGAGAAGCAGGTCATAAGTAGCATCCCAGGGCTGCCCATCCCCCTTCAGCCCCTCCAGAAGAAGCCTAGGTGTCTAAGGCTTTTGCAAATTATTCCTATTAGCCAAGATGAATCCAATCTTAGGTGCTTGATGGATAACCTTATTTTCCCTGGCCCCTGAGGAAGCCTGACATCTCAGCCACAGGCCCACAGTCTCGCTGGGAGACCCATGCCAGCTCGGAAGGAAACACCGTTACCAAGCTAATGACACCTCAGCCTAAGACAGGATTTGGAAAAGCCCATCAGGTTTGGTCCTACAGACTTTTCAATTGTTATTGTGCCTAATGTGGGCAGCTAAACCACTTAGAAACCCACCAGAAATTGGGTGAGAGCTCCCCCTGGGCAGGCCAGGCTCCTACAGTCTGGTTGTCACCCATCAAATGTTAAAAGGGGTTTATGATTGCCAAGGACTCTCTTTTTGGTCAGAAATTGTTCGAGTAGTTGGCAGAAATGGACAACTCATGAAAGAATTCACCCCATTTAGGGTCCAAGTTGTTTTCTGCAGGTATCCTCTCCTCTTCTACTTATTGTGGATAGATAGGACATATGCCTCTGGCTTTGGTGTGTTGGATAAACATGGACTACGGATTACTGCTGGCAAGCTTGGAAATGCAACCAAACTGATGTTTGATCAATGATCAAAAATAAAACCTCTTTGTTTTGTCTGTGGGTGTTTTTGTTGGACTTGTGTTCTTTTATTTCCCTTGCGAAAGAAATGCAGAAGTTCTTATAAAAAAAAGAAGAAACCCTTACTGAGTGAAATTTGGCCAGGGTAATTTTTTATCTAGCCAGGCCTGCCGAGCACACGGCAGGTGAGATAAACTTAATCTCAATAGCAAAGTTCAGAATACTTGTACGTCTTCCCACCAGAATATAGGATGTTTTAAAACATGACATAACTTTAACTTTCCAAGGCCAAGAAAATGCACCCAATTTGCATTAACACAAGACCAAGTCAATTGATCACTTAATTAAAACCACATCCACACCCTAAAACCTGGATCCGGTTTGTAGAAAGAGAAAAATACATGGATCTTTTTCAAAAAAAATTGAGGAAGCTACGCCTTGTGGGAAGCCACCAGGTAATTTTGTGCTTAAATTGCTTTAAAAATAAAGAGTAGGATCTTAGAAGCTTGTCAGAAAAAAGGACGCAAGTGTCTGCTTTTTGCACCTGAATAAAAGATCTGGACATCCCAATCTTCTCATCTCCCTCCCAGCCGTGGATGTATCCAAATGCCCTGTGTCCCAAGGTGAAGACTCTAGCCATTATTGAAGAGCTTGGTCACAAGTTTGCCAATCACAGATCCCCAGGTGGTACTGCACAGCTTCCCTCTGTCTCAACCCACATTAGTGCTTGGGTCATCCCTATTTCTGCTGTGCTTGTACCTGGAAACTTGGTCTGCTGCCCAGTTTTCACCTCTTCGGTTTGATTACTTTTAACCTTGAGGAACAAAGGTTTCTTCAGCAGGCCACATGGCTGCATTGCTTCAAAAGGTTGGATGGGATGGGAAAAGATGCTGCTGCTGCCATTAACTCTCTGTCCCCCTTGGTTTCCACCAGGTTTTCATTGGGCTACATTACCAAGATGGCCCTGAGATTAAATGCGACACCTTTCCCAGATTTTTCCCTTTGTAAAACAGCCGTGGCAGTCTCCTGGAGGCTGGCTGCCTCCAAGCTGTAACTTCCAAGCCGTAGACATGCAAGAACCAGCTCATATTGGCTTAGATTAGATATGCCATTATCAGAGCCTTGATAAGACTGCCGAACGCGGCAGCTTGTACAGAGCGTTGCTGCTTGATAAAGCTTTCCATTAATGCCGAAATCCAGCCAAGGACAGCCCTCGGCCCTTGTCGTCTGATCACAAAGGTCCTAAAGGGAGCAAAGGCTCTGTATTATTTCTCCACGGGCAAGACAGCGGGTTCACTGATAGTGTGAGACGTAGCGCTGCCTTAGCTTTGCTTGCCAACCGTCACCCGGGGAGCAGAGCTTACAGAAGAGCTGGCCTTTGCTGCTGGGGTCTTGCCTTATAGCAGGAGTAAAGCTACTGGCTGTGACACTTGCCTCACCCCTCTCTTGCCTCAAACATCTGTGGCATAATGCTCTTGCCTCTCTCCGGGCACACGGACCCCTGCTCACCCCCTCAGAGAGCGTATATTGTCCTTGCAGCTTGGCCTTTGGTGGGACGAGGCTGTCCTTCATCCCACCGCCCAGCGTACGGAGTCGGGACAAGGGCCGAAAATGGTGCTCGTTGCTTATGGAGCTAGTGCCAGGGAAATAAAATGTTGGGTAATAAATAAGCCATTAGCAGTTTACGTCTTTGAGTGAGGAAGGTCTGGATGAGTCCCCCAGGGCAGAGCCAGTGAACATTTATCCAGTGCAAGTGTGTTTTATCTCACCCCACCACATGTGTGCAGTGCAGATGTCTCCATGTGATCTGGGCTCACGACCCTCCTGAGACACAGTGGGACTTGCAATTGGACGTGCAAGGGGGGAACTTGCACGTTGGAGTGCAAAGAGCAGCAGCCTCCGAGCGCCCACAGGTGGTCAGATGAACTCCAGTCCTGGAGGGACACCTGGCTGTCACTGTGGGCCTGTGCTCACCTCTCCAGCTGGCTCGTGCTCTCCTCCACCCTGATTTATGAAGCACAGCATCCCACTTAATGGCTGCTTACAGTGGGCTGCAGCTAATGAGTCAAGGAGAGCTTCTCAGGCCCGCACAGCCATGAGGAGGAGCCTGTGCGTCTGCGA